GAGATCAGAAAACTGAAAGCAGTTTTGGAAACCTTAATATGTTTTATATTTATCTTGTTAGTTAGACAACAAAATTTCCAATAATATACAAAAAATTTCAGATCAATATCATTTACAGATCCAAAAATATACGTTTTTTAATTTAAAAATTCAAAAAATTTTAGATTTTTGGCGTTTTTTTTTTTTTGCCAAAAATGTGTCTTAACTCTTTTATTAATAAAATAAAATTTTCTTTAAGAACATATAACAATTTTATAGTTTTCTAAAAGGTATCTTTACGCAGAACGCTTTGGCGTAAAAAACTTGTCCTATTTTTTGAAAATGTTGCCACTGCGTCCTTCCGAATATGACCTATTTTTTTATCAAAACTTCAACTTTGGGCGACATGTTCTAAAATCCCAAAGCTGAGATCAGAAAACTGAAAGCAGTTTTGGAAACCTTAATATGTTTTATATTTACTCCAAAAATATTTTTCCAGCCCTGAAAGAAATGTGGACCCTATGGGCAAAAATGTAAAAAATCCCATTTTTGGGATTTTCATTCCTATTTTTGGGAATTGCGGGATGCCCTTTGACCTTTTCAATTTTGCATTTTCTTATTTGAAATGGCAAATTTAACAAGCGTTGAAAATTTCATTGAGTTTTTGATTTTTGAGATTTTGTCATATATTACATATTTGTTTAATTTCTAAAACTATGATTTATATCAAAATTTTAATAGGGTCGCAGATAGGTACAACAATTTAGTCCATATTTATCCCTTAATATCTTTTTTTTTGTTAGATATGGACATTATCGATTCTTTACAAAAGTTTTCAAGCCAATATCTCAATTACATTCAAAAATATGTTCATTTAAACCTGTGTCCTTTATTTTATTTTTTACCTAAATTTTTCGACAGATCATTTCGTTTTGTTTCGTTTATGATCATGTAGGTAAAAATATACAGGTAATGATAATTTCGATTCATTCACTAATAAGAAATATCAATGACTGAATTACAGGTTATAGTAATATAGTCCTAAATGTTAATAGGTAGACAATTCGTAATTTTTTACTTTGGAATACCTGTATCGGAAATGACAAGAATTGGTATATAAGTAAACTTCTCAGATTTTAAGTACCATATTTAATAAATCTACAATGAAGATTACATTAAAGTACGAAGAGTTGTGTTCCGTTTTATGGAGTGTATCTTCAAAAGGGCCAGAAAGAATTGAAGACATTTAAAATTATATAAAAACTACATATAGTAGAAAAGTAGACAAAACAGGCATTTCAAAAATTGAAAACTTTTTAAAACTTTTTGATGTAAAAAGTAAGTCTGTGGATGGAAATCAAAAGAAAATTCGATTAAAATTTTGTAGTTGGATGGAAACTACTACGGAAATCTCAACTTACAACACATCAACAGGAGCGCCTTGCAAGTCATACAAAGACTTATGTTCAAGGTAAAAAAAAGAGGGTCACACAAAAACTTTTTTCAATCTCAAATGAGGAAATTGCTGATACATTTAACGAAAACCAACCTATGGATGCCGTACATATTGCAACTATTCTTCCTAATGCATCACCAAAACGACTTAAGCGAATTGTGGAAACATCACAATCAAATTTTACTGAAGAGGAAGCAATAGCGCTTATGTTGGAACTGGGTCTCAGTCGAAATAAGTACCAAATATTAAGGAAAGCTCTGCATTAAAAAGGACACAATATATTACCATCATACAAGGCGATCCAGGAAAAAAAACAAACTATCCTACCATCACCTATTGCTGTTAATAATGTGGAAGCTTGTATTGATATATTATCTTTGCTCGAAAACACAGCATCAAGAATTGTATCAGACTTTTCAGAAGACCAACTAAGGAAAATTCATAACTGTGATGTTGTCTTAATGTGTAAGTGGGAATGTGACGGTTTATCAGCACTTCCAGAATACAAACAAGCTTGTGGAAGTCGGACATTAGCAGACTACAAAAGTGTATTTATGTCATCATTAGTGCCATTACGAATTCGTTCATATTCCCTTAATCCATAATCGTCAAGCATCGGAAATTCATTTGAAGATATATGGATCAATACAACTCCGGGTTCAAAAAATTTTTGTAGACCCATTGGATTTGAATATATAAAGGAGTCAATGAAAACAACAAAAGATTTAGTGGAATATTTAAAAGATGAAATAAATGCACTGGAGCCCATTTGCATAAAAATAAAGGAATTCTCTATTAACGTATCATATCAGCTAAGCTTAACAATGATTGATAGAAAGGTCAGCAATGCCATAACAGAAACTTCTTCCTTCTGGAGATGCTCAATATGTAATGAGAAAAAGTCGCAATTCTCAAATATAAACAAAAGCAGAAGTATTAATGAAGAAGTCCTGTCTTTCGGAATTTCATCACTTCATGCCAGAATACGATTTTTGGATTACTTTTTACACATAGCATACGAGCTCAAATATAGAAGTGTGCCAGAGAATCCTACTTAATCAACAAAAAATAATGAAGAATTGAAAGAACTAAGAGCTGCGGAAAAAAGCAGAATTCAAGAAGAATTTAAAGTTCAGATGGGATTAAACATCGACAAACCACTTCCAAGTTGCGGTAGTACAAATGACGGTAATACGGCGAGAAGATTTTTTCGTGATTTTGAAATTACTTCAAATATAACTGGAATCGACAAGGAGTTGCTTCGAAGAGTTAACACTATTTTAATGGCACTGAATAGTAAACATAAAATTAATGGAAATCGATTTGGGGAATATACATCTGAAATTTCTAAATTACTTGTATCTCTGTATCCATGGAGGGAACTAACACCAACAGTACAAAAAGTATTGTGTCATGGTCAAATAATAATTGAATCGAATATTCCTCCACTTGGAGAGTTAACAGAAGAAGCCCAGGAAGCGAGGAATTGAGATTTTAAGCATGTTCAACTATTCAGCTCAAGAAAATGCTCCAGGCAATCACAGAATGAAGATATTTTTAATAGTTTACTTCTATCTTCTGATCCTGTTCTTTCAACTATGCGAAAAAGATGGATTTGTTATGAAACTCTATCATCTCAAAACAAGGAAGATTTAAAGGACTTATATGACCTTCTTGATATGTATACCGATATGACAGATTATTTTATAGAAAATAAGTAGTGTTAGGAATTAACTATATAAGTAGGTTGTAAGAATTAATTGTATTATGTTTAAGATAAACAGCTCAAATAAAAAAAGCTATTATACTAACTGATGATATTGTATTAAATTGTGTTTTATATTTCTGTGGGCAGGAAAGGTGGTTTGTGTGGGGTGATTTAGGTGTTGTTGTGCGTGGCTCATAATAAAATTATAATTTTTTTATTGTATATACAATGTTATAGTCTTTAATAAAATAATTAACTAAATAATTTTTAAAAATTGTCCAAATATTTTATTCAACACCAAATGTATGTTCTGTCATACTTAATACTAAAATATGAAAAAGATGAAATTAAAGGACACAGGTTTAAATGAACATATTTTTGAATGTAATTGAAATATTGGCTTGAAAATTTTTGTAAAGAATCGAGAATGTCCATATATAACTAAAAAAAGATATCAAGGGATAAAAATGGACTAAATTGTTGTAGCTATCTGCGACCCTATTAAAATTTTGATATAAATCATAGTTTTAGAAATTAAACAAATATGTAATATATGACAAAATCTTTATTTATGAACAAAACTCAATGAAATTTTCAACGCTTGTTAAATTTGTCATTTCAAATAAGAAAATGCAAAAAAAGAAATGAAAAGGTCAAAGAGCATCCCGCAATTCCCAAAAATAGGAATGAAAATCCCAAAAATGGGATTTTTTACATGTTTGCCCATAGGGTCCACATTTCTTTCAGGGCTGGGAAAATACTTTTGGAGTAAATATAAAACATATTGAGGTTTCCAAAACTGCTTTCAGTTTTCTGATCCCAGCTTTGGGATTTTAGAACATGTCGCCCAAAGTTGAAGTTTTGATAAAAAATAGGTCATATTCGGAAGGACGCAGTGGCAACATTTTCAAAAAATAGGACAAGTTTTTTACGCCAAAGCGTTCTGCGTAAAGATACCTTTTAGAAAACTATAAAATTGTTATATGTTCTTAAAGAAAATTTTATTTTATTAATAAAAGAGTTAAGACACATTTTTGGCAAAAAAAAAAAAACGCCAAAAATCTAAAATTTTTTGAATTTTTAAATTAAAAAACGTATATTTTTGGATCTGTAAATGATATTGATCTGAAATTTTTTGTATATTATTTGAAATTTTGTTGTCTAACTAACAAGATAAATATAAAACATATTAAGGTTTCCGAAACTGCTTTCAGTTTTCTGATCTCAGCTTTGGGATTTTAGAACATGTCGCCCAAAGTTGAAGTTTTGATAAAAAATAGGTCATATTCGGAAGGACGCAGTGGCAACATTTTCAAAAAATAGGACAAATTTTTTACGCCAAAGCGTTCTGCGTAAAGATGCCTTTTAGAAAACTATAAAATTGTTATATGTTCTTAAAGAAAATTTTATTTTATTAATAAAAGAGTTAAGACACATTTTTGGCAAAAAACGCCAAAAATTTAAAATTTTTTGAATTTTTAAATTAAAAAACGTATATTTTTGGATCTGTAAATGATATTGATTGAAATTTTTTGTATATTATTGGAAATTTTGTTGTTTTGTTGTTGAGTCCATTTGGTCCAAAATTACGCCCGGTATTCAAAAAAAGGCGGACCAAGGTATGGTAAATTTTGTATCACTAAATTTTTAAATGCCTATAACTCGGATATTATAAGAGATAGTATCACAAAGTAAGCAGAGGCGACACGGCCACGGAAAGATGCACTAAAACTTGTCAAAGTGGCATCACTCATTTAACCCTTAAATAAAAAGAAGACAGCAAATATTAATATAATATGTATAGCTATCTCTTTTTTTGTGAGGGTTAAATAAAAAATTGTTTATTTACATTGAAATGTAAATTTTTTTAAACAAATTTGTGAAAAAAATGAGGAAAACTTTCTTTTTGCGCCAAAATTGGTGTCAATTTTGGCTTCAAAATTGCGATTTCGGCGCAAATTCCTCATTTCTGTTGTGTCATTTAAGAGTAGTAGTTGGAGTTTCGTAATTTTTTATTGGCCGCAGAAAAAAACAAAACAAAAAAACAGCAACATGTAAGTTTCATTTGGAAATTTTTAAATTTATTTTTTTCTAATATTCTCTTTATTTTTCAGGAGCCGCAAATGTGTTAAGGATTGTCCAGGAGGGGAGAATCTTCACCGCTTTCTTTCCGAAGGATCCGACAAGGTAGGAGTTTGAATTTTTAAGTGTCCAGTAAAGCCGGAAAGTGAATTTTCATTTTACAATTTCAATGGGAAAAATGAATGTCCAAAATGTAAATTGAAAATTTGCCTTTCCGTCTTTAATTCCCATTTGATAATATCATCTTTACCAATTGGATTATTGTGTAAGTTTGCAAGTTTGGTCCAATTCGTCCATTAGCTTCAGGTCAGTAGCCTTGACAAAATTTGTAAAATTTTGTCCGTAGTGTACCCTTAAACGAAAAGAGAAAAACTTTGTTAATAATGACTTTTGTTTTTTTGTTTTATTTTCAGGCACTTGAGGGTACTTACCGCTGATCCAGGAGAGATTTGGTCCAATTCGTCCATTAGCTTCAGGTCAGTAGCCTTGACAAAATTTGTAAAATTTTGTCCATAGTGTACCCTTAAACGAAAAGAGAAAAACTTTGTTAATAATGATTTTTGTTTTTTTGTTTTATTTTCAGGCACTTGAAGGGTACTTACCGCTGATCCAGGAGAGATTTGGTCCAATTCGTCCATTAGCTTCAGGTCAGTAGCCTTGACAAAATTTGTAAAATTTTGTCCATAGTGTACCCTTAAACGAAAAGAGAAAAACTTTGTTAATAATGATTTTTGTTTTTTTGTTTTATTTTCAGGCACTTGAGGGTACTTACCGCTGATCCAGGAGAGATTTGGTCCAATTCGTCCATTAGCTTCCAGGTCAGTAGCCAACAATTAGAAAATTTCCAGATATTAAAAAATTTCTTGCAAAAAAACAAAGAATTAATGTTATTACAAATACAACGTATTAAAATGTATTTTTCTTTATTTGCAGATATTACTTACCATTTTTCCACAAGGTACAACTTCGTTGGAGTTCATTTTTGTTATTTTTTTATAAATAAACAAAAAAAATAAAAAATTGTGAAAATTTTTCAATAAATTTTGTGTTTATTTATTTATTTATTTTTGAACACATGTTAAAAAAGGTAGTATATGGTTGATATTTTTTTCACATTAGTGTGCGTATATGTGATATTTTTTCTTTCTTTCATATTATGGGGGTAAGCTCAGCTGATAATCGCTTTTTATAAACGTCAGTTCTGACAAATCTGGTTATATCTGTGGATAGTATGTCCAAGCACGTTTTTTCAAGATCTCGTCGAGCGCTTTCAGAAAATATAAAAAATAAAAAAATGGCACGAGTTTAAAAATTTTACATGTCGTAGGTACCCTACGCCACAGGGCCGTCCCTGGGGCATCTGCGGGGTTCATCTTCAAAACTTAAACTCGAATACTCCTTGGCTACGCTCACGCCAAATTTTATACCGATCGGATCTGCCGTTTAGAAATGCCAGATTTATTTCCAAAAAATTTCGATTCTGCCCCACTGTGCAGTGTTGTTGTTGCTTATTTATCAAATCATTCAAAAATTGTCTTTTTTTGATGAAATTTTCAGAGGTTGTCTCGTATGTCCGCTATTTATGTACGGATTTTGCTGATTTTAAATACGAAACTTTTCGAAAGCATGTCTGACAGAATTATTGAAGATTGGACCTCGACGATATCTAGGATCTGCAAAACACACAGACGGACATGGCTTAATCGACTCCGCTAGTTATAAGGATCCAGAATATATATACCTTATAGGGTCGGAAAATTACATTGTAGAAAATACAAACGGAATGACAAACTTATATGAACTATATATACCCTTCCTACGAAGCACGAAGGTCTGGCTTATCATGTTTTTTGGCCAAAACTATACAAATATTATTTTACATTGAAAATTTATTATGTATTAATTATACCTTTTGTGACCAATTAAAATATTGGAAGTATTTTTGAATTTTTTATTCTCTTCAGACAGACGAGTTCTGAGAGAATTAAACACACTTGAGAGAACTAAATGCACTCACAAAACTTCAAATTGTCTTCGCGAAATTGCGAGGATATTATCACTTAATAGTTTCTCTTATCAATTAAACTTAATATTTATTATTTTATGCGACACTTTTAATGTATTTAAAACCCCGAAAATAATTTATATTTTACAAACGAAAAAAAAAATATTTTTTATTCTTTGACATTTCATTTTAATTAAAACTGAAAAAAGAAAAGTTGTAAATTTTCGTATTGAAAAGGAAAAAAAGTATATCCTATACTTATTTCTTTTCCGTAAAAAAATAACAAAAATACGTGTTGATAATATATTTTAAGATAAAATATCTTTCGAAAAAAATTAATTAACTAATATTTTCATTCACTAGTGTATGAAATCCCATTAATAACATCATATATGCGCTCATTTTCTGATCATATATGATACATTCGTCGGGAGAAAATGGTACCCTACCCGCGACTCTAAGTCATTTCTGATCAATTATGACTCATTTTTGAATCTTTTTTGAGTCATTAATGAGCCAAATAACAGGTCGTTTTTGAGTTATTTCCGAATCATATTATAGTCATTTTTGAGTCTTTTCTGAGCAATTTTTATGTTTATTACAGACAAATATAATACAACAGAAAACAGTTTTTGATCTTCCGACTGCGCGAAATATAACTATAAACTAATTTATAAACAATCATATTTCAAACACCTGGATGACCTATTTATGGTTAGTATACATTTTGTTATTGTTTTTCAAATAAATCAGATTTTAAACACCAATTGGAATTATTTAGACTTAGTTTAGTGATTAGTCGCCCAACTATATTCCGTATATAGTCGCCCAACTATCTTCTGTGTTCATTAAACACAGAAAATTATTATAATTAAAGCATAATATAATTTCAATTTCCTTGACAGAAAATCGACTTTATAAATATCACACAAAATCAAATAATTATACATTTAATTTTATAAACGAAATGAGAATTATATCAACTCATTTTAGGTCACACAAAATGTTTTGCTAACTCTAAAAGAGTCTTTTCTGAGCCCAATTTCTAATCAGTTTCGACTCATTTTTGAATCGTTTTTGAGTCATTTTTAAGTGTAAGTGTTGCTGTTTCATTACAAACAGAAACAATTACATAAGGAACAATTTTAGATCTTCCAACTGCTTGAAATATGACCACAAAATAAGTTTTAAAACCATCATATTTTAAACACTAGGATGATCAATTTATAATTGCTATACATTTTGTTATTGTTTTTCAAATATTTAGTTTTAAATCATATATCTGGATTATTTTCGAGTCATTTTTTAAGCGCTCATCTTATTAATCATTTTTAGGTCATCAAAAGGAGTCAAAAATGACTCAGTTTACTGATTAATCATCCAAATGCTGGATGGGTAATCACTAAACTAAGTCTTAATAATTCCAATTAATATTTAACATCTGATTTATTTGAAAAACAATCAAAATGTACAGCAATCACAAATAAGTCTTCCAGGTATTCGAAATTTGATTGTTTATAAATTTATTTTGTAGTTACATTTCGAGCAGTCGGAAGATCAAAAAGTGTTTTCTGTTGTATTGTATTTGTCTGTAACAAACATAAAAATTACTCAGAAAAGACTCAAAAATTACTATAATATGATTCGAAAATAACCCTAAAACGACCAGTAATTCGCTCATTAATGACTCAAAAAAGATTAAAAAAATGAGTCAGAACTGATCAGATGTGGGGCTCATAAAAGACTCGTTTAGAAGAGTCGCGGGTAGGGTACCATTCTCTCCCGACGAATGTATCATTTATGATCAGAAAATGAGCGCATAAATGACTATTTTAATCGTGCAGAAGAATCATACATGACTCGATTGTGATCAAAAATTTCAAAAAATGGTAGCTTGGTAGTCACCCAACTATCTTCCTTAGAAGATCATTAAACATATAAAATTATTATAATTAAAGCATAATATAATTTCAATTTCCTTGACTGAAAATCGACCTTATAAATATTACACAAATTGAAATACTTATACATTTAATTTTATAAACGAAATGAGAATTATATCAACTTATTTTAGGCCACACAAACTTTTTTGCCAACTCTTCTAAAAGAGTCTTTTCTGAGCCCATTTTCTAATCAGTTTCGACTCATTTTTGAATCGTTTTTGAGTCATTTTTAAGTGTAAGTGTTGCTATTCCATTGCAAACAAAAACAATTTCACAAGAAACAATTTTTGATCTTCCAACTGCTCGAAATATGATCACAAAATAAGTTTTAAAAACCATCATATTTTAAACACCAGGATGATCAATTTATGATTGCTATACATTTTGTTATTGTTTTTCAAATAATCAGTTTTCAATCATATATCGGGATCATTTTCGAATCATTTTTTAAGCACTCAACTTAATAATTACGTTTAGGTCATCAAAAGGAGTAAAAATGAGTCAGCAAAAATAAAACGAAGTACTTCCAAAAGAATAACATTTATCACCACCCAGCTAGCATTTTTAAATTTTTTATCACATTCGAGTCATTTATGACTCTTCTGCACGATTAAAATGATCATACATGCGCTCATTTTCTGATCATAAATGATACATTCGTCGGGATAAAATGGTACCCTACGTGCGACTCTTCTAAATGAGTCTTTTATGAGCCCACTTCTGATCAATTACGAGTAATTTTTTAATCTTTTTTAAGTCATTAATGAGCCGAATAACTGGTCGTATTAGGGATATTTCCGAATCATATTATAGTCATTTTTGAGTCTTTTCTGAGTAATTTTTATGTTTGTTGCAGACAAATACAATACAACAGAAAACGGTTTTGGATCTTCCGACTGTGCGAAATATACCCTGAAAGCAACTCAACTAACTTTAAATGCATTTTTCATCAACTAGTTATGGTTGATCATTGGATTATTTTCAATGGAGACAACTGACTATTTTAACATGGCGATGTCCTATGCAGTAATCAATTGTCCGACTCTGCATTACTTTTCAACTAACTTAAAGTTAGTTACAAAAAGATTAACTTAAAGTTAACTGTTTATTAACTAACTTAAAGTTAGTTGCCGAAAAGTCAACTAATTGTTTTCTTTTGTATTACCTACTGTATTAATTAATTACATTTTAATTAAATATATGTAAAATTTATTTAACTATTAGTTATCTAAATTAAGGCCCAAATAGACTACACAAGCGGCTTATCAAACATACTTTTTTCTTTCGCACACACACTACACAAACATCGCTCCTACAAACACCGATTTCCTCACGTTTTTGTGGACTTTCAAAGATATAGACATAGTTGCCAGATGATTTGGGTGTAAAATCGTTAAATTTCGAGAAAAAAATCGTCAACTGATTTTTCGAAATCGTCATTAATTCGACAAAGCTATTTTTCATTTATATAATATACATGTTTGATGGTATTTTTACGATTTTATAGTAATTATTTTAACTATCGACAAATTTTTTTCAATTTCGATAGATTTTAGTTCTGTTTGTTTGCTTGTACTTTAAGTTTGCTTACTGCCGGTCCACACTAGGAAACTTTTTTGGGAAACTTTTGATTTTGCGTGAGAGAGAAAGAATATCATTCATCTCTCTCGCGGTACGGAGTTTCTCGTACTCGGAAACTTGTTTTGTTTTGTTATTCTTCTCATTCGTACAACAACAAATCAATGCAATTAATACGTAGTTTCTGAAACAAAAGTTTCTATGTGTGGACATTAAGGAAACTTCAAAAAAGAATTAAGAAAAAGTTTCTCAACAAAAGTTTGATAGTGTGGAGCTGAATTAGGAATGCATTTGTTTATTATCTGTTTAATTTGGCAAATATGATTTAAAATACTTTACATTGAGTTCTTGCAAACTTACTTGTTATGATCTCTAGTAAATGTATGTATATTAGATGTTTCTATTATTCGTATACAAAACAAATTTCCTCCTTTAAATCAAATTCCAAAAACACTACTCCCTCTATCCTTCTTCCCACTACCAATTATTCTAGATCCAATAACCCCGAAGTGATAGCCCAAAAAAAGAGAAATTCTCAAAAATGTTTGAGTTCGTTATTACGTAAATCATTTGAT